CCCATGGATAGCTACCTGGAGATCAGTACTATCGATCCGGAAGACCTCCAACACCGAGCAGCTCCGCCAACGTCGCTACGGTCCAGGACATCATCTTCACCTCAGTCGCCAAGGCGCCAGTTGATGGTGGGATATGGAGGGACCGGACGTACCTGGGATGGAGAGACCGATATTTTCTTCGTGGGCCAGACTAAAGGTGAGCGCTGGCAATTACATCGAGCAACTGAAGAAGAATATCCTCCCCACATGTCGCCGCTCCTACCTTCCTGGAAACTTTGTACTGCTACAGCATTTGGTGCCACCACGTGGAATCGAAGGGCGTTGGAGAAACTCTCGCCTACTTGGAAAGGAAAGGGGCTGAGTACCTGAGGAAGGTGGAATATCTAAGCAGGTAACCTGAGCTAAACCCCATCAATTACTTGGCTCGGGCGGAGTTAAATAGGGTGGTCTACAGTGGCGGAGAAATCAACGATCTCGCTGAACTCACGCACCCACTGACGGTCGCGTGGCAGAATCTCTCGATGGCGCTCCTCCAGAAGGCTGTGGCGGAGTGTCATAATAGTATTTGATATGCTCTTTAATATGGTGGTAGAAATGTCCGATAAGAATTTAACAAAGTGTAGTTATAGCGCCTCGAAAGTCGAGGAAGAAAAAAGTCTTTTTTTTATGGCCCCCCCTGTATATATGATTATATACAAAAATAGGTGGTGAGGTCTGCTCCTCCACGCGGTGCCACTGGGAGCTCGTCTTTGTGAGCTGCAAAACGCAGACATCCGAATGCAGGTGACAGGGCTTCGTGACGGGCCGACCTACGAACACCCCATGTCACATCACAATGTTTAACAATGCCACATGTATGTCGAGATAATGCTACGGCGTCCGCGGGAGCCGACGCGCACTCGTATGGCCCGGCGAGTGTGGAAAGTATGCAAGGGTTCTCGCTGCAAGGACGGCATCGAGAGGCAACCAGGCTAGTCCAAAAGTCTCACAGTGTAGCGTGTAAGGTCCGCGTTGCAACCTTGAACGTTGGAACCTTGACCGGACGTTTATGTGAATTGGCAGAGGCACTAGGGCGCAGGCGAATCGATCTCTGTGCAGTGCAGGAAACAAGATGGTCCAGCTGCAAGTCGAGGGACATTGGTCGCAGCTTCAAAGCCATCCTTTGCGGCAAGCCAAGAACTACTAACGGAGTGGCCATAATCGTCTCTCAACAATTCCGTGACTCGATAGTTAGCGTGGAACGTTACGACGATCGCTTGATGAAAATTGTTCTTGCTGACGACTGTACCACTTCTTTTCGGCATATGCTCCGCAGACGGGATGCACTGAACAATCAAAGGACGAGTTCTGGACTCTGCTCGAAGAGAAGACAGCTGAGGTACCGTCACAAGACTTCGTAATTGTCGCTGGTGACCTTAACGGGCACGTAGGCGCAAAGAAAGACGGTTACAGTTGTCATGGTGGCTTCGGTTATGGAACACGTAACGTCGATGGCGAACGCATCTTGGAATATGCAGAAGCCTATAATCTTGCCATCGTTAACACAAAGTTCCGTAAACGCGACTCGCACCTGATTACCTTCTACAGCGGGAGTGCTAGAACACAAATAGACTTTGTTCTTGTCAGGCATCGCGATCAAGGACTTGTCACAGACGCAAAGACTGTGCCGTATGAGACAGTAGCCTCGCAACATCGCCCGCTTGTCTGTACGCTGAAGATAATACCGCCCAGGTCGAAACATATAGAGCGATGTGGTCCCGAGAGAATCAAATGGTGGCATCTAAAGGAAAAGAGGCAGCTGTGATCTCTCGCATTCGATTACCAACCGTCACAACTGTCGATGAAACATGGAAGAATGCCGCCAAAGCGATAGTTCAGGCCGTTCGCTCTGAACCTGGCACAACGAAACCTGGAAGGCGTAGAATTGAAAAGCAGGCACGGTTGTGGACAGATGACGTCAGGCTCAAGGTCCGCGAAAAGAAGAAGCGCTATCACTCGTTCCTTAAAGACAAGACAGCTGACAACTGGCGGAAATATCGGGAAGCGAGAAGTACAGCAAAGAAGGCTGTGGCTGCGACAAAAGCTGCTCACTTAGAAGACATCAGCAAGAAGCTGGAAACGCGCGATGGTGAACGGCACATTTACCGACCTGTCAAGGCTCGTCACCGCCAGACCGAAGATGTAGAGAAGTTCTTTAGCATCAATGACGAGAAGGGCCGCCTTCTGATGGACCGAACAAAGGTGCTGAGGCGATGGCGCGACTACTTCGGAGAAGTTTCCGCAGTGGAATACGAACACTCGGCCATCCCCGGCGCCTTACCAACATACGGTCCCGTTCAGAAGATAAGCGTGAATGAAACGGAGGCGGCTCTTAAGAACATTAAGCCAGGCAAGGCAACAGGCCCTGACGATGTGGCGGTCGAAGTATGGAAGTCACACTGCTGGCATGCTGCCGAATGGTTGACAATGTTTTTCAATCAGATCGTTGCAGAGAAGAAAATGCCCGAAGCTTGGAAAGAGAGCACGACGGTACCGATCTGGAAGAAAAAAGGCAGTCCTGCAGACTGCTCGGATTATCGTCCAATTCGCTTGCTCTCGCACAGCATGAAAATTTTCGAGCGAATTGTTGATAAGCGTATCCGTGATATCATCCAGCTCTCTACGAATAAGTGTGGTTTCGTGACTGGCTGTAGCACCATCGACGCCATACATGCAGCTCGCTTCTTGCTAGAGAAACATCGTGAGAAGAGAAAGCGTATCCACCTAGCCTTCCTTGAT